GAGAGAGAGAGAGAGAGAGAGAGAGAGAGAGAGAGAGAGAGAGAGAGAGAGAGAGAGAAGAATTAGCAAAATTGCTCAGTAGTTAAAACACTTCCCTCAAGCCTGCTGACTGTGGTAGGAAAACCACCTCCAATAGATCCTCATCTACCTCCACATGTGCATAAAAGCGAATAATAATACTATTTATTTTTAAAAAATTATATCTAAGTACTATGTTCTTATCCACCCCCTATAAATGAACTCTCCATGAAATAGAGGATCATGCCTTCGAGCCCAAAGGAAGTCATCATAATTTCAATAAGTTCCAGAAATTCTAGATAACAAAGGTGACATTCCTATTGACATGTCTTCACGCAATGAACTATAAATGAAACTGCTGATGATTTCTTTTCAAAACAGGATGAAACCTCATCTCTCAAGTTTGAAATAAAAGCCACAGTTTTTCCTGAGCCACACCCAAAGGTTATTGAACTAAATAAGGATGAGAACGTTGCCCATGTAAGATCCGCTTTCTTACGTGCTATGTGAAGGCTGTATGGGAAATAGTTCCAAGGTGGTTTATAAGTGGTTCCTTTTGTGGACCTGAGTCAGGAGTCAGCATGTCACCAGGTCATAGAGGACTTTTAACTCTTTACCCAGAGGTAGCATTTTCCACACCTGTTGGGCAGTATACAGAGAGGTCTCTGGAGATGTGATTTGGTAGCTGTGAGAATGGGGTGAGTGGGAAGACTGTAGAACATTCCCCTCGTTTCTGCTAAACAGTTGCCAGTGTTTGGAAGGTCTGAGATTAGAGCAGAGCAGGGTGGACAGTGCAGATCTCTGTGGAGGCCTGGGAGGGAAATGTCAGCAGTGCTATCTCTGAGTGTGTGTCCTTTACTTAATGTGTGCAGGTTTTCTTGGAAGGGCTCCATCATCAAAGACCCAAACGGCATCTCACCATCATGATTATTACCATGAGCTTGCTGCTTGGACTCATTGTACTTTTACTAATTTCATGTGTTATGTGGAAGGTAATCCTTTAATAATTATTAATTTTATGTGTTATATAGGCAGTATGCCTTTAATAGTTACCAATAGTACACTACTCAAAATGCCTTTGTTGTCTCAAAGGCAATTATTTCAATATTTGCTGTTCTTTTTTTTTATTGCTATCTCAATGTTTAATACTTATGACATATTTATTCTAACTTGACTACAAGAGTCTGTTTGGGAAAATGCAGACAATGTCAAATGTCAATGTGTGGATATATATATATATTTATTTCTCACAGAGATGTCCTCAGTTGTTAGCACTGCATGATCCATGCTGACTATCACTGTTTACAACTGTTTTCAGAGCTAGGAAAACCTGGGCAAAATTAAAAGTATTGTACACTGATTTGATATTTGATGTGACTATTATGGGTTCAGAACTACACACTTGTCATCTAATCTGTTTTCAGGCTGGGTTCTTTAAACGACAGTACAAATCTATCCTACAAGAAGAAAACAGGAGAGACAGCTGGAGTTATGTCAACAGCAAAAGCAATGATGACTGAAGACCTCTAAATTGAGAAAATTGAAGAAAAAAAGACTCAGGTTAGGGAAAAAAGTCCTTTTCATAAGATCCGTCCGTGGTAATTTCTTTTTTTTTCCCATGTGCTTATGATTTTGTGACACACTCTGTCTTAGTGCAGGGGAAATCTTCAAGAAAGAAGCTACACAAAGGTGGTTTGTCAGCAGTCAGTGGATAAGTGGAGCAAAACACTAAAGCTCTGGACATACCTGAGAGATGAACTGCCGAAGACAACTTAAAGGGACAGTAACTCCAGATTTAGCCGGACCAACGTAAAAGGAATGATCTTTCAATGACGTATTACTGACTAGGTGGGCTCACCTCAGTGAAATGGATGCTTTGATATGGAAACTTGTTGGCTTCAATACTTTTGATTTATCTTCAAACTATGATGATGATCTTTGAAACCACTGAGTCTCTTTCAAATAGCTGTTCCCAGATTGTCTAAATGGATAAATCGTTTTACAGCAGAGGACATGAGGACTACCGTTGGTGGCGTGGCATCATCGGGCTATGCTCCTACCACCCTTTTACTCAGCAGATAGGAATTGTAAAATCTTGAAGGACAAAATCCGTTTGCAGAAGGATGGCTTCTGGAGACATGGTCAGCTGTGGACTCTTCTGTGTATATACATATGCTTTTTTAAAGGATAAAAATCTCAATCCACATCTTTTTTTTTAATCAAGAGTACTCTTTATCAAGAGTACGTTGAGATTTTATTACTTTTATTTTTTGCAGTCCAGCTGTTATCCACCTCCTGGTCCGCCCTCCCACAGTTCCTCATCCCATTCCCCCCCTCCCCTGTCTTCAAGAGGATCCCCCCTCCCCCACCAGACCTCCCCACTTCCTGGAGCCTTAGACCAGGCAGTCCTCTGCTGTATATGTGACAGGGGCATAGGACCAGCTAAGTGTATATTTCCTGGTTGGTGGCTCAATGTCTGAGAGATCAATTTTCAAATTCTCATTTGTAATACCAATTAGGAATTTTATCCTTATAGCAGATTATAAATATTGCACTTTAGCTGAGACACGCTGATATAATATGAACTGCAGCTCACTGGTGATTGAAAATTTTGCAAAGAGAAACCTGAGAGCCAATTTTTTATAAAACATTCACTGCTTCAAATTAAGCAAACATGAGTATCTGCTAGGATATTGTTGTTTTTCTTGGTCTGATTAAATATACACAAACCAGGACTCTTAAAAAAAACCCCACATCTGTTATAGAAATGGACAGTATCATACTTGGAACTGCAAATCACTGATCAAGTTTGTATGCAGTGACATCAAGATTTCCATGAGATAATGCATGCTTGATGTTGTTGCACAAGATTCTATTTTAAAATGAAGTAGCTTCTATCTTGTTTTCACATAATTTGTCTGTAATTATGTTCATTTTGTAGTATTTATTTCATATATGTAGTTTGATAAATGTACGTTTTCATCTGAATCTGTTATGTGTAAATAAGCTATGGCCAGATTTTGAACATGTGCTGGGTAAAAGGGGCAGCCTTCAGTGTTATGAAGAAAGATCACTTTACAGGAAACATTTGCTGCCAGCTGGCCCTTCCTCAGATTTCCTGGTTTGTGAGGGTGGCCTGTTCACAAGTCTGTGGCTGGAGAACAGAGGTTTGCTGAGGCTGGCGAGGAAGGATTTGAGTGCTGAAACTTGAGCATAGAGACTCAGATCTGGGTGTGCAGAAAACATATTTAGTTAAATGTTTATATTTTTTAGGAATACTTTTTTTGTGTTAAAGGTGTATGTTTATGAGAGTCTCATTAAAATTCAAGTAGTTATTTCATAAGGATCCCAAAGTTAATAGATGAGAAATCAATATCATTTTTTACCTACCATGTCAAGGGATGGTCTCTGAGGAAATTTAAATGTGGATCATTACACTGAAAATGGACTCCTGCCTTTCAGGTACAAAAGAACACAGCTACCTCCTGGGCCACATTTTGCCCAGTTAGAAAGATATATTTTTATGTATATTTGTAAATGAAACTTAGAAGTTTACCTATATTATAAACTTTAAAATCTAGTTATTTCAAAAGATGCTGTTATGAAGTGGGGTACTAGAATAATACCCTAAGAGGAAATAATTTTTTATTAAGTGAGTGTTAATGGTTTACATTACTAGCTCACCGTGAAGTCTGAAATTTTACAAAAGTTTTGCTTTATCATGCTACAGGAAATTAGATCTAACACCTTCCAAAAATCAGAATTTTGATTTTTTTCATTGACTTCATATTACTATTTTAATTATATTAAAATATTTTAATTGCATTAAAATAGATACTTTATATTAAATAGGTATCTTCATTAAAATGCATTTTCCATTTGTATATATGTTACATGCCAGATTCCTTCATGATAAATTTCTACTTTCACACTTCTTTTATATGCAATTACATGCTACTTTGGAGTCATTCATTTCTTCCAGGCTTCCTCCATAGAGTTTGATCAGTCTTGGGTGCAGCCTATAGGGAACAACATAGGCTTGATTATTTCATTTCTCTGCCACTGCTATATTTCACGTACCTCACAAGTGTGCTACATAAATCACACATATGCATTGGTATATACTCCTAGCAGAGCCACAAGTCAGCAAGCTGAAGGACCTAAAATACTAACATCTGTGACCATTCCAGAACATTTTTAACCACCTTTCCTGCCTGGTTAATATCTTTTAGAGCCTCTGTGAAGAGACAGTCATTTAAGAACACACCACCTAGCAGAGGCCCCGTCCCTCCCCCTGCACACTTCAGCTTGCTAAGACATTAAACTTGCTAAGATTGAGTATGTAAGATTCTACAATTTTATACCCATCACTCACTCTTGTTAACATATATGTATGTTGTGTGAATGTTTTGTAAAGATTTGACAGGTGACCCCATTACTTTATATGCTGGCTTGCCTAAAAATAGAACTTGAATAAAAATAAGACTTAATAAAAGCAAACTTCAATAGAGTATTACATGACATTAGAGCCCAGTTTGGCAGTGGTGGTAGGATGGGAGGAGGGTCAGAGTGTGGCACTACTTTACTCTTAAAAGCCTTAAGAATAGCCTTGAAGAAAAACAGTGTAAATTGTAAACACGTCTGTATAACTTATACAAAATAATGATTTGCAATCATTTGTGTCCATTTGTTTGTTAGAATGGCACATAAACACCTGGGGAAACCATGTTTGATTGCCTCTTTCTTTTCTAGTATGTACTTTGTATTTATACAGTGCTCATATTTGTATTTATTGGAAAATGAAAAGTTTGCATACGTCTTTTTACAATTTGCTAACTTTCTGGCTTTTAATCTTCTGCTCGGACTTAGGAGGTAGCATTCTCATATTATATTATTAGTGCTACATCTGGTATTCTACACAGAGAGTCATCATAAATTAGTTGGGCTTACCTAATGTGAACCTCTGATGCAGTTTCCATTAAGTCACCATCTACATTCCAAGGAAACCCATTTTCTGAAACAGTTGTGTGGTTTCCACCCTCCTCCTGTGGACTGTATTCATTGCTGTTACTTGTTGGATGAATTTTTACTTCTTCAATCGTATAAGTCTCCACGAAGGGAAAATTGAACTAGATACAACAAATGGAAAAAATCATGATGCTTCATGGTGGCCCCTATTATAATTAAGTTTCATCATCATACTGATCTTTTTATAGCTTTGAAACTCTATCTAGATAGCCCTAGGTTTTATGAAAAAAGAAGCCTCTTTTCACACCCATTCATCTCTACTGTATGACAGTCTGTACCTGTGAAAGATTTCCCACAACAATGATGTCATAATTTCTAGTTAAAGAGAGACTCTACATTTGATCCCGCTGACTTCATTAGAACCTCAGTTAGCTGGTGTGAAACAAACTCTAGCACAAGTTTCACAATTGGAATTCAATACAGAAGTTAAATCTAAATTTATAGAAATGAGATGGAAAGTACATAAGAAAAAGGAAAGAGGCAATCAAACATGGTTTTCCCAGGTGTTTACCTGCCATTTTAACAAACAAATAGACACAAGGTACAGGATAGTTATTAGCCATTCTAGAATGCCACCAGGTAATGTTCAAGTTGTTCTTTTTTTTTTCTTTGCCAAAGAAATTACCCAGGTGGAGGAATGGCAACACATCCTCAATTATATCTATAAAGACCTTTCTTCCAAATAGGGTACTGGGGCAAAGATAACAAGGTTTAGGACTGAATATCTGGGGTGAAGAACAGACATAATTTAGCCTATATCATCAAGCTCTTGGAAATTAATGGCAAACATAGCCTATAAAATGAGGGATTGTGAGGCAACTTCTCTCAAGTACAAGGCAGACACTGAAAGATTTGCACCCAATGTGGGATCTCTAACACAGTCACAGCATGCAAGTAGTTTCATGGAAAGCCAGGCTGGTAAAAGTTACTTAGAGCTGAGGTGAGCATGGAATCCACATTGAAACTCAGTTTATTGTATAGTTTAAGCTGTAGTGTCTCCTGGGCCTTTGTTCTGTGTGTGTAAAATAAGGGTTTGGGGGAAAATATTGATCTTTAATTTGCCTTAAACAGCTTTTTAAATTTTGTTCTTTGTGGAGGTTTATATGCAGAGGGGGGAGGAGAGACTATGTTTATTAAGGGATAATTCTAATGCCATTATTTTAAAATATGAAATGATCAATGATGAGTAACTATATTTACAATAAAATTATTTAGCTATCTTAATTACTTTGAAGAGTCCAATTACAGTTTCAACATACATTGTATGCCCTGCCCAAGAATTCCCATGTTGAAGTCCTAATCTTGAATGTCTCAGAACATAACTGCTTTTGAAGATAAGGCTTTTAAAAATGCAGTTACATTAAACACATCTGTGTGTGGCAGAGCCTAATCCAACATCAGTCAGTTCTTGGAAACTCGTGTACAAACCTAGCCTATAAAATGAGGAATTGTGCAGCAACTTCTCTTAAGTACGAGGCAGATACTGGAAGATCTGCACCCAATGTGGAAGACAATTGTTCCCTTGTGGGTGGTAGAAGTTTGAAAGAATTGAAAAGTACCAGGGATTCACATTTCCCAAGGGACAGCCACATGAAAATACACTTAGAGGACAACCATGTTCCAAAGGGACAATGACCTCGTGAGATAGTGAACGGGCTGATACCTTCTTCAAGTTGTAGCTTGAACTTGAAGTGAGAAAATGTTTTCCCAAGGGCTATGGAGTTCATGGTGTGGAAATGGAAAGCTTCCCTTGGTAAAGGGGAGAAATCAGCTATTTTAGGAAAATTCTTCCAGTAGGACCTACAAAAGACGAGACAAACTGAAGATCCATGAGAGGCCATCATAATGACTAAGGTTTGAATTAAGACTGGGGGGATATAAAAATGAGAACCAACAGAAGCAGTTGGTGTAGTGTTGAGAGGAAATTAGGAGAGGAGTTTCAGAAAACTGCAGTATGAGGGGAGATGCTGTTATCTGAAGAAAGAGGAAAAGTCATGGTCAGCCATGGATCCATCAGACTGGGAGACCTGGGTGGTTTACAAACTTTACAGCATAAGGGAAGGACAGTGGTTCTACAGATCTGAAGACCTGATCAGACCCTTGCACTGGTGTGTGCTTAGAAGGCAAGCAATTAAAATAATGGGAACAACGGGACCACATAGAAGAGAGGATCTTCGGAAGATGGGAGAGTGCATTAAAGTTTTAAAACCACTTGCCAAAGGTGGCCATGGAGAACAAGACATGTGGGGAGAGAGAAGAGCTAGCAAAGGGGTGCAGTTAAAAGGGCCCAAAGCATAGTTTTATCCTCCATTTTACTGAGTTAGGAGTCACTGTAAAAATAGCGAGGTTATCTTCAATCTGCTCTACAGCTGTTCACATTCACATTCCAGCAATGAAAACATGGTTCAGAGAATGAAACACTAAAACAATTCAGAATTTGTTTCCTTCCCACGTACCAGGACAGACTCACTGCACTGGGTAGAGTCCTACCATAGCTAAGATATATGTACATTTTCTTATATGACAAAGTGTTTGTTTTTAAATGGATTACATATAATTCATATTCCCACATTGTTTACTATTTATAGAAATTATTATATGAATTACATATGATTATAAATACCAGATTATTGTAGTTCTTCATTGTAGTGTGAAATTATAAGACATACATGGGGAACCTGGGGACTGCAGAGGTGACTCAGTTCTTAAGAGTTCCTACTGCCCTTTCCAGAGGACCCGATTCACTCCCAGTACAAATGTGAAGCAGCTCATAGCCACCTATGATTCTAACTCAAGAAAATCCAACTCCCTCTTGTGGCTCCCACAGGCACACAGGGATGCATAAAGAAACTTGTCTGTCAGTTTTTCCTCTCTCTGCCTCTCTGTCTCTCTCTCTCTGTCTCTCTCTCTCTCTCTCTCCTTTCTTCCCTTCCTCTTTCCCTCCCTCCTCTCTGTACCCCTACCCATTTACAAGTGGCTATTGTGTATGATCAACAATAGGCCTGTGATGGTTACCTGGATTTACTGCCCTCCTCCCATTTTTCCTCCCCTAACTACATCCAAGCACCATTCATGTCCCTCAATAGGAGAATAGACACAGAAAATGTGGTATAATTACACAATGGAATACTACTGGGTATTAAAAATGATGACTTCACAAACTTTGTAGGCAAATGGATGGAACTAGAAAATATTATCCTGAGTGATTTAACCCAGACCAAAAAGCACATTCATAATATGTACTCAGTGAAAAGTGGATATTAGCCCAAAAACTCAGAATACTCGTGATACAACTCAAAAACCATATGAAGCTTAACAAGAAGAAAGGCTAAAGTGTGGATGCTTCAAACCCACTTAGAAAGGTGAACAAAATAATCACAAGAGGCAGAGGAAGGGAGGGATCTGAGGGCAAGAGGGGAGGGGGATGGGAAAAAAATCAAGGCCAGACCAGGTACAGAAGTCCATAGAGCCAGGAAGTAGAAATTAGTGGCAGTAGGGGGTGGGGTACTTGGGGAATAACTAGAAAGTCCCAGATGTCTGGGATTCCAGAGGCTCACAGGACCCAATGGGGATATAGAACCTGAAGAGATCATCTCCAGTAGATAGACATGGTACCCAGTGGAGGGATGGGGCTACCCACCCATCTAAAATTTTTTAACTCAGAATTGTCCCTGTATAAAGGAAATACAAGGATCTCTTCTCACACCTATGCCCAGCAGGGCCCTCCGCTCTTATGTATACAGCTGAAGAGATCCTTGGCCTCATGAAGGCTGGATGCCCCGGGTTGGGGGGGAATTTGAGGGTGGGGAGGTGGAAGTGGGGGGGGTAGGTAGGGGTACATCCACAGAGAAGCAGGAGGAGGGGTGAGGGGATAGGGGGTTCCTGGGTGGGTGGGGGATGGGGTAAGGGGACAACATATGAAATGTAAATAAAAATCCAATAAAAAATAGAAAAAAAATAAAAGAAATACAAGGACAAAAATGGAGCAGAGGCTAAAGAAAAGGACATCCAGAGACTGCCCCACCTTGTGACACAGCTCATCCCCAGACACCAAACCTCAACACTATTGCTGATGCCAAGATATGCTTACAGACAGGAGTCTGGTATGGCTGTCATCTGAGAGGCTCTGCTAGCACTTAACTAAGACAGATGAAAATACTCACACCCAACCATTGGACTGAGGACAGGAACCCCAATGGAAGAGTTAGGGGAAGGAGCAGAAGGGGATTACAATCCCATAGGAAGGACAACAATATCAATTAATCATACCCCTCAGAGTTCCCAGGGACTATAACACCAGCCAAAGAGTATATATAGGACTGGTCCATGGGTTCTTCTACATATGTAACAAAGGACTGCCATATCTGGCATCAATGGGAGGGGAGGCGCTTGGTCCTGTGGAGGCTTGATGCCCTATCAAAGGGGAATGTTAGAGTGGTGAGGTGGCAGTGGGTGGGAGGGTGGGGGAGCACCCTCTTAGAGGCAAAGAGGAGGGTGAGGGATGGGGGCCTCATGGATCGGAGACAGGGAAGGGGCATAATATTTGAAATGCAAACAGATAAAATGATTTTGTCTTGAAAAAGATTGTGTCAAACTACAAGGTTTTACAGCCACATCTGTACTTCAAGACTAACAGCTGGATCATAATGTGTGACTGAGAGTACACCTCATCATATTTACTCTTTCTCTTTTGGTCTAACCACTTAAGTGGAAATATCTCTATATACATTTTGAAAAACAATAACATCTATAAAATGGGTATTTTAAGCACATAGCTGTAAATCTCTTGAAATCCATGAATATGAAGCAGGTTGTGAGCAAATGTCAGAAAAATCTAACCATCATAAAGGTCTCAAACTCACAGAGATCTGCTTATGTCTGCCTTCTGAGTACTGTTATTAAAGGCGTGCTCCACACCTGACTATACTTTCTTAGGTTTCAAGTATCGATATGAATACCGGAGTAAAGCATAAGATGAAAAACAAACAAACAAAAAGTTTAGAATCTGCTGTTGTAAAATCAAGAAAGCTAAACTCTCAGATTTCACCACTTTCCATTCTAAAGGACAGTGTGTGTGTGTGTGTGCGCGTGCGTGCGTGCGTCTGTCTGTCTGTCTGTCTGTCTGTAATTGTATCCTTAACTTCCTTCACTTTTCAATGTTATACTAGAATTTTGTTTTTTCTTTACGCAGGGGAAAATAATCATATAACCCATATGTCAAAAGAATCAAATGTAAGTTAATACTGGCATGCTGGCACACACATTTCAAATTTTGAAATAAAGGCTGGGGGAGAAAAAATGATTAACGTAGGCAGAAGGAAATAAAGGTTTCTCACAAGACTAAGCTTGATGTCAATCTCTGAAGCATCTTTATCTCCATGATTAATAGCCTTGCAAAGAAGTAATGAAAAGAAATGCCCGTACCTGATTCTTTACACTGGAGTATCTTTTCAGGTGCTTTACAAATTCGGGTCGAGTGGTGTTCCGTACAACTATAAGAGCCATACTTCCATTATTTAATCTGAAATTAAATATTTGTATTGGACATCAAGGAGTTTAACAGGCTGCGTGTCAGAAACTACCCCATATCATTTTGTCTGACAAATATAGTGCTCCCTAGAGGATACTGATCAATACAAAAAAATCACCATGTTGAATTGACCTAAAATTTTTAAATCACATTTTGCTGTACTCTGGTTGAAATGAAAAAGCTTTTCAAATTAATTTTATTAATCCATGGAGTTTCTTCTCAGCAAAATCTTACTTTAGGGCTCTTTTAAAAATCAAATCTTTATGCACCTTAACCACATCAAGAAGTAATATTAAATCTACCTTAATTATTTAAGAATCTATGTGTTTTACATTTTAAAAATGTATTGTGGTACAGTGAACATTTGCAAATGGTCTTAGATTATCTGTAGCCAAACTTTCTTCTAAAATCCAAACTGAGGTTAAAAATGTTTATGGGCAGAAGGTCTAAGTGACACAGATGATGAAATATATCAAACTGAACTGGATAGAGGGGACAGAGTGAACAATTGCTACCACATATGTTCAGCTAAAGAGCAGAGCATTTAAATCTTACATAACACTTCCATCCAGTAAGAGAGACTAGAAACCAAAAATGTGATCTGGTGCCAACACAGCAGCCACAAATGCGTTAGCTTTAGAAGGCATTTTGCAGAAATACATGCAAATAATTTCATGCTTGATTTCAGTGCAAA